CGCTAAAATAAATGTATGGAAATGTGTGATATCCATGAGGGATGGATAATGCAGCGGTAGACCTCACGCTATAGTAGCACCCCATTATCATTCTTAAATTTATTTGAATTTATTTTTTACAGTTCACAAAATGATTTATTGTTTTGAGCTAAGAGACATTTACTGTCACTCTTTTCTTTAACAAAAACCTTTTTTTTTAACTTTGATAAATCCAAATATTTTATTAGATTTTGTAGTCTTATAAGGTGTTTTTTTTATTAATTAAAAATTTTATTCCCCTATTAACTCCTCAATTTAAAAACTGTTCATGTGACTGGATTATAACATTTAGGATCAATTAAAGTTAAATCAAACTCATATGAGTTTCCCAGTCTTCAGTAATGTATTAATTAGACTATCATCTTAGTCATTCTATATAATAAATTTTTGCAGTTTCCATTAGTTTTTGACAGTCAAAAGATTTACTGTTGACTATAACAGGTTTCTGTATAAGCATAAAGAAATGTTATGATTTCTAATATTCATCTCTTTTACAACTAAAATTCTAACCCAGAACATTAGAAACATCTTTCGTAGTAGGACGCTTGAATTGATGAGCAGCAAAACAAGCCCTTACTTCCTTAAAGAAATGTCTTATGAAGAAAACACTTAAATGGTTGATTTTTGCAAATTTAATGTTACTCCATAATTATTAGCCTACTTAATTTTATCAGCAGCATAACTGTTCTGCATGCACTTTTTCTTATTACTTTCAATGATCTGATTTGTAGAATGCCAGTAACTTTAATCCCTTGCCTTTTAGGGACTTCAAATCCCACATTTTCACCAATTCCTGGGTTATCCCTTATTTTCTCAGCTTTCACTCTACTCCGTACAATCAAAAAAGTGCCTACACTTTTATTCTAAATTTGAAAACCTTTTAAAAAGTTTCCCTCACATCTATGTAAAGCTAATTCAAACAGTCATTTAATCATTGTTTAGTGCTTCCTCAATCATTTTCTGTTTTATTAAAAGTTTAAATTGAGTAAAACATCTCCAACCTACCCCAAAATTTTCCTTGCATCTGGTTCACAGATTTAACCAATTCTTCTGTTTCTCCTGACATATCATTACTAATTGTTTGATTAATGATTAACATTGGATCCTGTTAAAAATGTCATGCATGTACCTGACACTAGGAAAACTGAAAAATCTGCTTAGTGATTTTTATCATTAAAGTTCTAAAGTAATGCTTTGTACCTGATTGATAGCTTCTCAAGTCTGTAGTTACCAACATCAATTGCCCTGACATGCACTCAGAAAAAAATATTTCGTTATGTTTTTTGTTTCTATACTCTAGTGGCCTATCCTGAAATTGGAACAAAATTTGCCTGAGTTATGTAAACAGTTTCTGCTTAGCCTTCTTGTTTACTGAAATCTGAAAATATACTATTATTAAAACTTGAGTTCTGATGAAGGAACCTTGTAGTGTTATCCACAACAGTTACAGAATTTGATTGCCAACAACCAACACAAAATCTTCATGTCACTTGTTACTAAAACGAGTGATGAATGGCTATGAGTGATCTTATGATCCTGTTTTTAATATTTCGTCCAGCCATATATCCCCAGCTGATGCTTTCCAAATCTTTGGATAAAAGTCTTGAAGGATAATTTTTACATAATTAAAAAATATGGCCCAATGTCCCATCACCACACATTAAAGCATGATCCTTTTACTAGTTCTGAGAGATGAACATGATCTACCAACATAACCATTTTCTTGACAGTAGCAGCAGTACAAGTTAAGCCAGTTAACGTATTCATTCACAGGGCACCCTATGATTAACTGAATTATCATATGCTGCAGTTATATCTAAAGAGCCTAAATTAATACCACAAATAAACGTATTGGTTCAAATTTGAGAACATTACACACAGCAGTATTTCTTAATCTATTCCTCTTCTGCAGAAAGATGAAATAACTTATGGAATAGAGAAAATAAATTGGGGACAGCTTCTTGCAAAGTCTTATCTGGTTTTATAATTCTAAAAAGTTTGCTTCAGTACTTGTTCAACAGTTAAATTAGAAAGATGTGTTTATTTATATAACAGAAGTACTCTGTTACTTAAACTTGTATAATTATACTAAATACGGAACCCCCCCCCTTCAAATATTAACAAATTGTACCAGCATTCCACTTTAGGAACTATACTTTTAATTGCAAAAAATAACTATTGCCCAACTGCTACCAAGCTCCCAAAAGTATTAAAATTTATGTCACCCAATTAATGAATTCATTTACATTACTAAAAGTATGAAAAACATAGTATTACGAAAACAAAAATACTTCACTATATCTCAGTATATTAATCTAACATCTAGAAGTATATTACAAATCTGGAAAACAAACTGTTTTTCTTGAGATAATTGAAATAGATAACATTAAAAGAAGAACTTAAAAACATTTTTAGCATACACATTTTGAGAAATAATGTTAATGCTAATTCTTCATCTACACGTGTTAATACATGCACTTTCTAGTTTTAAAAAATCCTATTTTGCATCTCACAAACTAACACTGGGCAAATAATGCATTGTAAAAGTTAATTTAAAGATTGGTATTAAATTTTTCTGCACAAATAGCTTTGCAAATACAGATAAAGGCCTTTTCTTGTGGAATAAAAATGTTCATTTAAATTTTTTTTCTCATTTTAAACCAGTAAATGCACCAATACCTAGTGTGATATTTGTTTCATTGGCTTTATGGGGATGGTGGGTTTACATGCATGTGTATAATTTCCTATAAAGGGCTACTGAATGCACCTGATCATTGGCAAAGGAACTTGTCCTTCATTTGCTGTTATGTAGTAAAAGTTCAGTTGGCTGCCAAAATCAAACCACTCATTTAATTGCTTATCCACATAAACTCAATCCTGAGGGGGGGGGGGTTACACCTATGTACCTCTACCAGATTTCAGAAGCCAGCTCCTCGTAATAACTTGTGATATCTAGATGCTGGGCAGATTGATGGCTGTGCTTTATATGTATATAGATTCGTATTTCATGCGAGTAAAAGTATCAACTGACCACTCTTCTTGTGATGTGAAGCATATAAAGAGCTTGAATATCATGGAATAACACTTGTAAATTATAACTACTAATGTCATCTTGTAAAAGTTATCTGTTGAGTAATGCAAATTGTATTTAGATTGATAATTTGTGTATGCATATTCGTCCAAAAAAATTAACAGAGAGGAAAAAATTATTTTTGACTTACAATTCCAAAAAACATGTTTGCTTAGGTTAAAAAAAAAATCACTTGATAAGATCATACAGGCAAGTTTGGATAATGCTATTATAATGAAAAGGTGGGAAACTGCAATAAGAAATTAAAACTAGCTATATAAAAGTAAGTAACTGAAAGATGTTTGAACCCCACATAGAAAAATAAATCTTGAATACTCTTAAGTTAGGAGAAAGTGAAAGATATATAAAAACATTATGATAAAGAAGGCCTGTAAAAAAACATCAGAAGTACCATATGATTTGGTATTAAAAATTTAAAGACTATATTGAAAAATTGCATTGACCATTCCTCCTCTCAAAGAAAAAAATAAACTTGTATGAAAAAGTAAAGCAATCCATAAAGGTAAATCACAACAATGTAAAATACTTCAGAATTAAATAACAAAAAATCAGTGATAGCAAACTTATCCCCATTGTTTACTATGTATATGCTTTTAGTCATTGTGTTAGGTAAAATTTTCGAAACCTTTAAAACCAATTTGGTTATTCATTAGTGTTACATTCTACATACCACTAAGTTTTTACACTTCATAGGAGAACCATTCATAAGAAAGGCTCAGACTGAAATTTTTAAAAATTATTACCCCAGACACTGATTTACACTTCCTAAGAGAACCACTGGCAAGAAAGGTTTAAAATAATATTTTTAAAGATTGTTACCCAAATCACTAAAATCATAAATTTTCAATAATCTTCTCTCTATAATGTGAACAAGTGTATAAGTATCTTTCCTGCTTTTGTAATATGTCTGTTTAACACATGGTTGTTGTATTTTCGAATGCTAGTGGTCATGTGATTTTTCTCTCCTAGATTTTGTCACCAGAGAAACTGTTCACTTTATTGCAGCTAAAACTTTCCAATATACCTAGAACCTAAGAGATACCATGGCAGGTGCAGTTCGAAAATTATCGTGAGTCATACTTTTTAATTCTGTTCTACATAAAGGTAGCTGCTGTAATATTTTATAATCTTCATATTGTAGTAATGTATAAAATGAAATATTATCAATGTACAATACGTTTCTTCTTAAGTTAAGGTTTTGTGTGTTCATCTAATTAAACCACAGAATTTTTTTTTTAATGAATATTAGTGGGGCAAAACATGTAGGAAAAGAATCACACGAATGGAAACTATTTAACCATTCAGGTTTCCAATGAGCTTCCCAAACTCATTTATTCATGGACAACTAATTCAAATTTTTTCATCTACATCATTTTCCTGAAAATAAAGCAGAAGTACCACCAAAGAATAAAGCTTATATAACTGCAGTCCATTGTTTCAGTTCTGTGGATTAATTAACTCGTGGTATTGTGTTTACTGACTTCACTTCACATTAGACAAAGTTGTTAAGACACCAAATGAAATAAGACTTTCATTATCTTCATAAGAATATTTACCATCAAGGCAAGAGAATTGCTGATTTCTTAACCACATGGCTTTATTTTTTAGTCAGGTCAATTACTTTAAAATATTAGATTAGACTTGACATAGAAGTAATCAAACTGTAATCTACTTTAATTAGTTGAATAGGAATACATGATTGGTTGGAAGAATCACAAAGGTATACTTTATTGTATTTATATCTTCATTGAACTCTTTATCATTTTTTTCACCCATGAAAGTACAGTTTAAATCAATTGCTGAGATACAAAAATATGGATGATAATATCACTGAGCTCATTAAAGCTAAGAACTGTGATTTTTATATTTGATAAAGTTATCAGTATACAAAATATGCATTGTTCTTTGTAATGTTGTATGCTTTATTGAAATATATACATATGTACTTTGTAAGCAACAGTTGATGGGTCATTCAGCAATCAGATGTTTGCTCTATAACTTGGGAACTGAGCTATGAAAATACTAGTTTTAGTTCACACGTAACTATATTTTAACAAAAAAGTCAAGACATTTAATGTGAGTAAACAAAGCATCTAACAGTCTTAAGATCTCTTGAAAAATTATATGGATAAACTGCACTAAGTTTTCCATATATTAAAATGTGTATGGTACCATGGTGAAATGGTAGAATATGCAAAGCATCCAATGAAATTATCATGTAGTCAGTCCTGGGTATATAATGTAGGTCCTAAAAAGTATATGAATAATGCATATTCTCACTGCTATGAAAAAACTTTTTTTGCAATTACTGTTTAGCATTAGTGCTTTATTGTATTCTACACTGGTTGACCACTTTATTAGAATACTTCCACCACATACACATTTGTAGGACACTCCATTTATTTTCATAAAAGGAAAAAAATGACTTATGTGATATGTCAAGTGATTTCTTTAGCTGTTCAAAAACATTGTTACATAGAACATAGTAATACTATTGTTATCCACTGTTAACCTCATTTACCCAGTTGCAGACCATATTTCTTGATGACTGGGCTACATTTCAACAATCTTGTGATCTCAAATTCGATGACAAGGAACCCATTTTGAGACTGATAATGGTTGGAGACAGCTTGAATGGGTAATGAAGAAAAACTTCAATATAAGTTTATCATAACAGCAAGTGTACAATGTTTCGACAAGGTTTTGTCACCATCAGGTACAAGTAATTTACACTGACATGGATATATATATATATATATATATATA